CCATCAATTATAGATGAGTAATATAGCTACGTTAATGTATCTATATTGTAAATAGCAATCATATTGATATTGAAGGATTTCTTTGAGGTGACTTTGCTGGGTTTTTTGAAAGGCTCTTGGTTAGACTTTGTGAAGGGTTCTTGACTGGAGTCTTCTGAGGAGACCTGGCTGCAGGTTTTTCTGGAGTCTTGTCTGCTTTCTTAAAGAAGGTGTCCAAGGAAGTTTGGACAGATGTTCTCCAGGGAGATGAGTGATGCAACGAACTTGTTCACTGGCATGGTGTTGCATCGGATCAAGCATTGTAAAGTTGAAACTGATGTCATAAGTTGAAACAGGGTGTCAATTTATAAACATTGTAAGTGCGAAACGTTGTAACTCGAAATACTGTAAGTCAAGAACTGCCTGTACTTCACTTGGTTAACAAAGATCTTACTATATAGGTGAATCCTACCCCCTACAGATAAAATATCAGGGCAATATAAAAAAAAAAGAAAGGAAACCACTGACCTGTTCTTGCTTATTTGTGTTCTTGTATGCAAGTTTTTGTATGTGAAAGGAAACCTCTGAACCATCCTTGAGTTCTTGTATGTGTTTCTCTCAGCTTCAGCCAATGTGTTTCATTTTGCTGTTGAATCTCAGCTAGGAAAGCTAGTGTTTAGGGTGCAACACACTTGTCCCCATTTGGCTCAGATTGAACATGCCTTGTTGCCATGGGTGCCTTGTTCCAGCCTCCTTGAGTGAGAACTGGTTTGATGAGGTCCTTTCACCAACAACATCTCTATAGCAGAAGAACAAACCCATTATCCTACTTAGTCATATGCACATTTTGCTCTTTTTTTGTTTGTTTCTTTAAAGAAAACAAGACAAGGTGCACTAAATTACTGATCTAATGCCAGCAGCTAACTGCTGCTGCTTCTCTCTTCTGGAATATTTAAAGGGGAAGAAGAGGAAATAAGGATCTGAACTGTTAGAGGCTGAAACTATTGTCCTACATCCCTTTTAAGCTCTGTTCCTCTAACTCACATAAGAACAGGCCTGTACTAAACTGACTGATTGCATTATCTCTCTGTAACTTAAAACGTTGATAATTTGAGTTAGAAAGTTGTTACTTTATTTCCAGAGAAATTAATTTTACTCCCAGGGTAGAGGCTCAAAATATTTCCATTAAGTTCTCTAATTAGAATAACCTCTTTTCTACTAAGAGTCTTGGGACAGATCTGGTCCTCTTTGGGTATGTCTACATGTGCAATTAATGTACCTTAATGTTACTGTGCATTAAAATGAGGCACAGTAAACTGTGCCTGGGAAAACAGCTACACATGTGCCCATGTCAGGAGCAAATTTGCCTTCAATGGGCGCATCCACATGAGCACTCACGTGTGTCTTGCAGTGATGGCTGCCCTGCCTAGCCCCATCCTCTGCCTGCCCCCCAAACCCTCCAAGTCACTGCCTCACTGCCAGTCACTGCCTCACCTGGCCCCATCCCCTGCCTGCCCCCTGAGCCCCACCCCTGATCCCTGCCCTGCCTGGCCCCATTTGCAACCTGCTCCCCCGATCCCCCCCGTCACTGCCCTGCCTGGCCCCAGCATCCCAGCAATTAAAAAAAAA